ACATGAAGGAAACTAGATGATAATTTGAACTAGAACATTTTTATATAACCTGCTAAAAAAAACAAGATTTCAGATTTATGGAGAATTCGTAAAAAAAAAAAAAAACAATTGTTATTGATAGCTGCTCTTTACAGATTCAAGAGAGCGATTAAAGAGTTAATGCACATTTTTACTGTAAAATTTCTTTAGCTTATGTGTTTATTGGTGCTATATAAATATACTGAAACTATTGCATTAAGAGAAGAAACTTTTCTGCAGGAAACCAAATAGCATGAGTAGAAATCAGATCAATTCTAAGTCATTTTCACCACAAATACTCCAAAGGTTCATTCTGAACTCTTCAGGTCTATAACACGAAACCTCAGAGAAAGAAGATTTTATCCAAACATTTAAACTGGGAATATTTTATAGCTTCTTAATTTATGCGTTTCTGCTCCTTAAAAATTTGTATTTAAATTAGAGAATTTTAATTTCCAAGAAAAGGAGGCATGCTTTAAGAAAAGTGCAGAGTATGATTGTATGTAACTTTAAAATAAAATCCAAACAGCTGCTTTCAGTCTAAATAAAGAAAAAGGAGCCCAGCAGACGGGTCGGGGGTAACGGTGAGAGGCTAAACGTGATGTTGGGTTCTATTCTGAGGATTTAAAGATTTGCTCATTCTAATAACTCTGCATCTCGACAAATCACCAGTGTTAAAAGACCCTAAGGGTGGGGCTAAGCAGGTCAGGATGACGGGAAATGGCAGCTAGCTTAGCTTAGCTCAGAGGAAAAGAAGACCTCACCTATTCAGCCAGGCCAACAATTCCCTTTAACGACCCCCCCCCCCTTTCAGAGACATAGACAGGTATGGGACATTGCAGGCTAACAAAGAAGCCAAACGACCCCCATTCCAGAGGGGTGGACCCCTTTGTTTGTTTCAATTTGCATGTTTTCTAAATCAAAACCAGGCTTTGTTGGGCTGCTGGATAAAACCTGGAACTCAGCGCTATTCCTGACACTTTGAATTGAAAAAGCTTCCTGGATGGAAGAGAAACGTCTTCAAACTTGGAAACAAAGTCCAGTGGATTTTTTTTTACTTTTGTAGGGCTCAGCTTAGCTTAGGCTCAGTTTAGCTTAGCCTCAGCTTAGCTTAGCCTTACTGAAGGATGAACAGTTAACTGAGGGAAGCCAATAGCTGCCCCGCAAAGGAGGTCTATAGAGTCTGAGCTGCTGTTTCATGGTGTTAACATGCAGCTGCAATAACGTAAGCATGGTGCGAAAAACTAGCCACTGTTCAACCTGTAGAGGGCAGCACTGAGACGGGTTGAAGACAAATATTGCAGAACTATATTTCTCATGAAAATGTGGAAAAATGCACAGCAGCATTAAAGTCGCGAGTTTTGGACCCAGATTATCTGCAGGAAAAGTTGATTTCAGGGTGAGTTGCACTTTAAAGGTTTACAGAGCATCTGCATGTGCAGAAGAAGAATAGCCCAACAAAGCTACCAAGGTGTCTACAACGATCTAAATGGAGAGTAAGATGCCAGATGAATCCCAGAGATCCACTGAACTCTAGAGGAGCTGCAGAGATCCTCGGTTCAGCTGTGAGAATCTTTTGCTGCATAATTTGAATTTGGATGTAGGTGCTCTGGTCAAATGAAACATAAACTGAACAAAAAAAAATAATGAGTGTGGCTGAAAACGAAAACAGTGTGACACACTGACAAATATTCAGTGATGGTGGTTCCACTCTCCTATAGATTTACTTCTTAGTTTAGCATCTGATCTATCATCAAAATGTCATTCTTAGCTATTATTTATTAATGTCTTTTAAACAGATGTGTCAAAAGTAAATCTTATCAAGCCTTTTAATCAAGCAAAAGTGTAAAAGTACATTTTAAAAACTAAGGCATAAAAGTAATGCAGGAAAACATGTTGAGAAAAGAAGCTTTCCTGCTCTATATTAAAGGGAAATTTTTCTACAATTCTGGATGATAACTTCCTTAAACTTTATTTTCTTAGTTTTATAACTAATAGTAGGAGTGTCAAATTTTAACTTTGCATCATCTTAAAAACTAGTTATTTTTGGTTTGTGGTGAACAACAAGTTGGGGCAGCACCGATTCCAACCACATATAAATGAATTGTCTGGATGAAACTGGTTATTTTTTATTGTATTTATTTTGTTAAATACCACAATGCCAGAATTAAAATGAGCTTAAATGAAACAAAACTAAACACTAAATTTTTAAAATGTAAGAAGTAGAAAGTTTTTTGAAAAATAAAGTAAAGTATAGATAGCTAAAATGTCTACTTAAGTAAAGTAACACACTATATGTACTTTATTAGTTGACCAGGGGCGGAGCTACATGGGGGGCCAGGGGTGGCCATGGCCACCTCTCCCATTCTTTTCCCTATAATACAGACAGTGGCAGCAGTAATACTCTCAATATTAAAACATTTTAATTTTTCATACATTAACACTTACTTGAAACGTGGTTAATTATGAACATAAATATACTAACTTTAAAGGGGTGATAGAATGATTCTATAGGGTCCTTAAGGTCTCTGAATAGGGTGTGTAACATTGGTTGGGCTGAAAATGGCATATTTTCTGTTCTATGAGCCCTAATGCAGCCTGGTTAAGAGCCTAAAATGAAACGACAGGTTTTCTTCTAGGTTTTCTGTTATATGGGGTAAAGAGAAAATGCAAAAAATGCACATCTTCAGTTAAATACGCAGATAAATAACAATTTTAATAAAAAAAAGTAGTAAATAAACAAATTTTGTAGATATTAGTACTTGTAAATCTCAATTTTATGCAGAGTAAATATTGATAAAAGTAGGTAAGTAATGACAATGGAAAAGATCCGACCCAGAACTCACACCTGAAACAACTTTATCCACTATATTTTATAACTAGGAAGTACTGATGTTTAAATATGTGCGTCTATTTGTTAGCAAAGGTTTGAAGAAAGTATAGTTAGCCTTTATTTGGAAAATATGGATGTTGTGGTTGTTAATTTTCCTATTGGAACAGTATAGTTTGACCCTGAGGTCAGTGGTGTTAAAAGTTCACACATTTGTTACTAAAGTAGAAGTATAGATACTGCAGTTTAAAAACACTCTGGTAAAAATTGAAGTATCAACTTGACCTCTTTTCTCAAGTAAAAGTGTAAAAGTATGTGCTCCAAAAACTACTTAAAGTATAAAAGTATAAAGTAACCTTTAAAAAAACACCCAGATGCCACTAGATGAATTGAAAGCTCAATTTTTTGACTTTTTCTAAATATTCTCTGAGATAGGGCCAAGGATGAGGGAGGTCTTGTTGGTCTCCGTCTCCCGATACGCTCTCGCCTGTGTCTGACCTTTCAGACATTTCAACATCTTTTCCTGAATCCTACATTGTAGCATGGCATAGACAATTCACGTTAGCAGTTTGAAGAACACCTGCTTGCTTCTGATGATTTCCTTTAGCTAACCAATGAGTGTTTGCGTTATATGACTCATCCAATCACACTAGTTTTCACTAGATGTGGGCGGAGCCAATGATCTGCATTGGATGGAGCACATGACGGGAAATAAATATTTAGAAACATTAAACCGAAGCCAAGAGTAACGAGTAACGATTGGTTTAAAAATGTAAGGAATAGAAAGTACAGATACTTATGGAAGAGGGTTAGGGCCACTGGAAAAAAAAAAAAAAAAAGTTAACATATTTTTAAATTTTATTTCAGTTTAATATGGGAAAAAAGTCAGAATTCTGACCTTTTTCTCAGAATTCTGGCTTTTTTCTCAGAACTCTGACTTTAATCTCAGAATTCTGACTTTAATTTCTCAGAATTCTTACAGCTAACAAACATGTTAGCTTCAAGCCACAGCCATGTCTGTTTTAGAGACTAGCTCTCTTGTTTTAATGACCTTCTGCTCCTCAATTAATGAGGCGACCCCTCGGGCACGTAAAAAGTTGCCTAATTCTGCCATTTTCCACCAATGTGTTACTGGCCCTCTCAAACAACTCACATCTTTGTCAGTGAAGCTGAGTGCTCAACATCTCTTCCTTCATGGTGCCCATCTACATTAAGATCGAACGTTCTGAGATTAAAGTCAGAATTCTGAGAAAAAAGTCAGAATTCTGAGATTAAAGTCAGAATTCTGAGATTAAAGTCAGAATTCTGAGATTAAAGTCAGAATTCTGAGATTAAAGTCAGAATTCTGAGAAAAAAGTCAGAATTCTGAGATTAAAGTCAGAATTCTGAGATTAAAGTCAGAATGCTGACTTTATTCCCATACTAAATTGAAATAAAATTTTAAAATCAGGAAACTTTTTTTTTTTTTTCCAGTGGCCCGAATCCTTTTCCGTAGATACTTGTGTGAAAATGTAATGAGTAGAAGTCAGAAGAAGGAAGAAAAATAAGTAATGGAGTAAAGTATTGATACCTAAAAAGTGTACTTAAGTACAGTAACAAAGTATTTGTACTTCCTCTGCCTAAGGTTCTGGTGCCGATCCGCTCTCGGCCACCCCTCAGCGTACGTTGGTTACTGCCTGGCCACCCTCATAAACCTGTTCTAGCTACGCCTCTGTACTCCTCTGCGTTTAAAGGTCATTGGTTTGGGTGTTTGGGTCTCTGCTTTTAGCCTGTTTGATTTTAAAAATAAAAAGTGACCAAACACTGAAAAACTGGGAAAATACTGAATGTTAGAAGAGTTTCCACTTTTATGACTCTTGGTTGGGATGTGCTAAGGCGGCAAACACCTAGGAGTGACGTCTTATCTGGAGTGGCACAGGTGCACAGGTGCAGTTTCAAAATAAAAGCATTTCATTTTCCATTTCTAATGTTGGCCCTAAACGTTTACATTATTCATCAGACTAAATATATAATGAGAAAATAGTAAATACTGTGGTGGTTGTAATGTTTGCTGGTAGAGAAGGTCGCCGTAATGTCGGTGAGTTTTATTGTGACAGACAGCAGGTTGTGATGCGGTCCACCTGTCGCTGCGACGCGGAGGAATTTAGCCGAAAAAACAACATTTACCAGGAAGTAAACCCGAGGAGGAAACGCAGGAGGAAGCTAAAAGTAGCAAACTTTTAGGTTTTAAAGGTGGTTTTAAACGGTTTTAAGTAAAAAGGAAGAGGTTTGGTGGAAACTTTGGGCCTTTTGACGATCCAGAGGAACTTTTTTGGCTTCTTCCACGATGGACTTTGATCCGGTAGGTGATGAGAACAAAGGTTTGATCCACCGGCGGCAGAAAAACAGCCAAACTGTGGAGCTGAGCTCAGAAAAACAGTCAGAAAACCAGCCAGACTGAGCAGCCTGTTCCTGTCCAGGAAGGCCGACCTGAGCGGAGAAAACTGAGCTAAACTCAGAGCCGCCAAATTAAATAACTTTCTATGGTTTCTGTTCTTTAGATCAGCCTAAAAACTGACATTAAAGCTGCATCCGCGTCACACATAAAGTTAAACCAGTAAATGGTTTTAATTTATCTCACTTCTTAAATCTGAGTTTTATCTGCGTCTTTTAATGATAAATGATAATAAAAATAGTTATTACTACAATCAACATGTGGGCATCTTTTTCTATATTTCCTATTCTGTGTTTTATTGATTGAAATGGGTCTAATATTAGCTGTTAAACTGATGGTTAGTGCCTTTACTATCACTAACTGCTCTTTACTGGTATGACTCGTAGATAGTAGTCCAATGCATTTTTTTCTTTTAGGCCATGAAGCAGCTTTCCATCATCCAGCAGCAATAGGTGGGGGAGGGGTACTCATACTTTCTCTGAAATCTAGCCTGATGTCGTTACTAACTTCAGCCTTTTTAGTTGAACTTTCTAGATAGCAGGAAGGGATCATCACAACCCGACACCTTTACAGAGGAACAGAAGACCCATTCAGCCAGGACAGCAATTCACTTTACAGTCATTCTGGCTTAAACATGTATATAAATGTTGTCTTTATCAGACAGACCAAAATTAAGAAAATATCTATTTAAAAAAAAAGAATGTCTTAAAATCAGTGGGGTTTTTTCTTCGTTATCTTCTGCAGGCCAATAGTTCTACGTCAGCCTTAACACCTAAATTCAGTCAATCATATATCAACGGTCATCTGTCTATCATTTTTTCGGTCATAGCATCTTGATTCATATGTCACAGCTAATATAAGCAAAGGTTGAAATCAGAATCCTTTCCTTTCCCATTGAGTTGCGTCCCAGTATTCACGGGGATGGACGTCTGTGTCTTCAGCAGGCGTAGAGCTAACAGAACTGGCAGCGTTGCGAGGCAAGGGCTCAAACATGTACGGCTGGAAGCCTTCTACACCAAACCAAGCTTCTGCCGCCCTGGCGTCCTCTTCCACAACATCTTCGTCCCCGCTTTCCTAGCCTCGTGAGACCATCCTGATCTCGCGAGCTTTCAAGGTTTCACTCGCAGATCAGTCTGGAGACTCTCCGTTAAAGAAAATTTGGAGCCGTTCACCAAACGAACGTCCAATCAGCGTTGGCTTTGAGGCGGGTTGAGGTGTGACGCAACGAGAAGCGCAACAGTTCAGTCTAAAGAACATGGCGGTTTCAGCCGATGAAACTAGCGTTAGCGTGGCTATCGAGCAAGTTTTATCGGAATTACAGAGTATTTCTTCACTGAAAGAAGAGCAAAACACTGCTCTGGAGGCTTTTCTCAGAGGAAAAGATGTTTTTGCTCTTCTCCCCACTGGTTTCGGCAAGAGTAGCCTGGCTTGTGGTTGTGTTTTCGTCGTCGCTCTGTTAGTACGTCATATACTTCGTTGATCTGATTGGTTTATTTGGCCCCTCTATCACCAACATAGGCCAATCAGCCAACCAGTATTTTCGCCCCTTCCCAAAATTACTTCTACGGAAGGTTTCCAGATGGATATACGGAGCAAATCCATCTGGCAGAGTCAGGCTACCGCTTTCCTCCTCTAAATAAAAAATGGATGACGGAGGAGACTCATCCAAGACCTCCGACACTAAACTCTCCTCCTCTTGCATGTTTCCGCTGTCCATAGCGTTCCTTGACAGCGTCGTTTCTAAGTCACCAATTTAGTGCTACTTGGTCCCAGTGGAATTTCCCATTGGGAACCTGCTAGCGCTAAGTTGCTAACTGGTTAGCAAGATGCTTCAGAGAAACCGGCCACAACCAAACTTGCTTGCGAACCTTCCGCCACAACAATCCCGCCCCCTTGATAATCGACCAATCACATTCACTTTATTCACTCGTGTAAAGTCGTGAACCACTCTGGAGAATTAGGAAATGCAACGATTGGAACGGCCAAATTTAACGATCCCCCTTTCAGAGACATAGACAGGTTTGGGGCATTTTTAGGCTAAAAAAAAAGAAACTAAATGACCCCCGTGCATGTTTTCTAAGCGAAAACAAGGCTTTGTTTTGGCCCACTCTATAAAGCCTCAAACTCAACCCTTTTTCTGACATTTTGAATTTAAAAAGCTTCCTGGATGGAAAGCGAAATGTCTTCAAAATTGGAAACAAAGTCCAGTGGATTGTTTTTAACTTTTTTGGAATGACTATGACCTGGATGACTGAGAATCTTCTCCAGCACATCAAACCCAGAGTTGTGATTAGAAGTAAGCTGGTAAAGGTAGAGATATTTCCCAGCTTCTATAAAAAGACGCTCCATTAAAGCATGGTTTGGTGCCGGAACCGTTTTGTTTTTTTACCGTTTAAAATGGTTCCAGTCTGATGGTTCTTAGTTTGGATGAAAGGAGCAGCTCAAATTTAACCAGAAGTTGGATCAGCAGAAAGTCTGAATTGTTTCATTAAAAGTCGGAGATTTCTCCTCCTGTCTGACCTGAAATCCAAACATCACCTTCATTTATTTAGCTTTTTTGGTTTGAGAAAATTATTTAAAAGGTTTATGGAGAAAAGCCTCCAATGCAAACTGATGAGCTGCAGCTAGACTGATGAGTCCTAACCGTTACAGGAAATATTAAATGCATGAAGCATAAAAATGTAAATTACCTTATTCTCTCTCTGATTTAGGAAAATAGTATTTGCTTTGCTGAGGAGCGTACAGTTAGGATTTGGAGCGGCTGCGGTAGACCAGGGAAATCAGCCGCTTTGCATTAACACTTAGTTTTAATCTTTGATTTTACATTAAACATGCTGCTTCAGCTGTTCTGGAAAAAAAGGCTTCCTGGAACAACAAGGTCAGTTTTCATGAGTCGAGCGAAGTGGAGACTTTTTATCTAGCTGCGAGTGAATCAGACACTTCCCCCATTTTTCTCTCACTAATCACTGGTGATGCTATCAGCCTTGCAGAGTGACTGGAAGGAGACGCTGGTATGGAGCGATTAAGAAAAGGCTGGGCTCAGTCTGTGTGGATAAAACCGAAAATGTTCCTGCAGCCGCTTTGGCTGAGGGGTTCAGAGGTTTCTGAGCGACCGGCTGGCCTTTATCTGATGCAGCTTTTTGGATTAAATCTATCAAGCTTTTTATTGTGGGACAAAAGGAAGGAATTGGACGAGACGTCAGACAACGGATGACGCAGGAAAAACCTGCTTTGTTTCCTAGAGACCAGTTTGTTTGGAGGCTGCTGCCGTCTTCTGGGATAAGGAGGTCTGTGAGAGCAGCTCCGTCACGCCTGCTGCTGTTTCAGCTTCCATCACTTTGCATCTCATTAAAAAACTACAGATAAGAAAACATGGCTTTCTGGTCACATTTAAGAAACACATGGAGTTAATTTTGTTCCATTATTTTTACAAAAAAAGAACAAGTTTTGTAAATGGAAATAAGAAAAAAAAGCAATCCTTTCTCAGATATTTTTAAGTTATTTTATTGTAAAATAAATATATATATTAGGGCTGAAACAGTTAATCTGATTAATAGATTATTGAAATAATCGTCAACTGAATTGGTAATCGATTAATCGTTAATTTGAGAATAGAGACAGTAAAATATGGCTTTAGCTGACAGAGCGATCCACTTAACGGAGGAATTATACCAAGATTGTAAAACATAAAAATAATAAAAATAAATTCCATTCAGTCTAATAAAACTATTTTAAAGAGGACCGCCCATTTTTTTTCCCCAACCTGTGATTTTCAGTCAGTGTGATGAAGCTGCATTAAATTAGCAGAACTAACATTTGAATATACGTGTTTCGTCCGTCACTAGTTCGCCGTTACACCTGCTGCCATATTCCAGCCAGCCTGCAGTGATGCGGTGTCCCTGTCATTACCTGATCCATCCCTCCATCAGCTCATTAGTTTGCCCATAGACACATCTTGGTCACCCTTAGGGGTGTAAATAATAATCGTTTTGCATCGATGCATCAATCAAACAGCAGACGATCCAATGCATCGATTCGTCCGCAAGAGAATCGATTCATGTTTTTTTTTCCTCCGGTCTATTTTTATCCATTTGCTCCTGGGCGTAATTCTCCTCCCGTGCTGCGGTGGCGCTAAACCGATTTTGCCCTCCTACCTCGCTTCCTGGTTATACTCTTACAGCAGTGTGTTGCAGTGAGCTTGATGCAGACATTTGTGATTTATGCTCAATATTGAAGCGTGGTCTGAGCTACACGCTGTGGGTCTAGATACGGCCGAGGCGGCGAGGAAGTGGGGGCGAGTTTAGTCCGACGACGGAGGGACATGAGGGCCAAAAAGAGCGGAGATCCAGGTGGAAAAGGGGTCCCAGCGTTCTCGCGCACCTCGCTCTTCTAGCGGGTCAAACTTCAAGAGTTGTTTTCCGCAATTTCGGTCATGAAAACAAAACAAGCCGGCCTCCTGTCTGCGGCACTGTCTGCGGTCAGCTACAATTTGGGAGAGGGGTGTCTGTGGAGGGGGCGAGGCATCTGGAGCCGAGGTATTGCACTGATTATGTGCAGGATTTTTTGATGCAAGGCCTTTCAGAATCTATAATGTAGGGGGATTATTATTTTTCAGTGAATGAGGTTTTAATAGGAATAGGTGGAGTGCAACTGTTTAACTTCTGTTATTTGCTGTTGTTGTTACAGCTTTCATTGATTTATTTCAAATTTAAAACATTTTCTAGCCTGTAAGGTGTAAAAAAAAAAAAAAAAAAAAAAAAAATATTCGAATCGAATTGTGGTGTATTCTTGAGTATCTAAAATAATCGAATCTTTGGGTCAGGAAATCGATACTGAATCGAATCGCCATAATGGGTGTGATTTACACCCCTAGTCACCCTCCATTTTATTTTATTAAAAAGACCTAA